ATGGCGTCTCCCTCCGCGCGGGGGGCGGGGCGAAATGTACCACTGCCGCGGGAGCCGGGGGGTGGCGGAATGTACCACTGCCGCCACGGGCACCGGGCAGCGGGCGGGGGAGGTTCTGGGAGCGCGCTTGGGATGCACCATTGGACCTGACCGCGGAGGGGGGCAGAGGGGAGCACCCCCGTGCGTGTCGCTTGGGCTGCGCCGTGTTTGGTTCCTTCCTCCCAGCCGGCTGCGCCTGGGGGTCCGCACGCGCGGTGCAAACCGGGCCGCGATGACAACCGGCAGAAACCTCCAGGGTCGCAGCCGCGAGGGGGAGAATGAGCGTGTGCTCGCACTAAGTTGTGAGCGGGAGACTGCATGCCCTTTCCATTTTTACTGCCAATTGTAAGGAGCCTTTTTCAGGTCTTTTTTTAAAAACCAAGACCTGAAAAATCTCACGCATCCAGGCTCGGGGTTTTAGACACCCCCCTCACCTCAAGATTCAAAGTTGCAGAAGTTGGCAGCTCCCTGCCTGATTGCTTCCCCGCCCCTCATCCTTGCTTATGTCCTTGCAGAAATGCATCAGGCCCTTCCCTCGTAACTCCTGCAGCAATGTTTGTGGGGAGTGCAATAGCGGCTGGTGGGGGTTTCCCGGATGAGCGACACTAAGCTGATTAATGCTAGGCTGAGCTTGGTACAAGCCTGTAAGTGATTCTGCTCTAATGCATCTACCATGAGAGAGAATTCCCCCTGCACCAGTTTCTGTCGTTTCAGGAAGCAATTTAGTGAAGTCGGTGGAAATCTGCTCCCTATTGTTAAGTATTATGTAGGGGGGGGGTTTGTTTTTTACTTGCTTCCATAAATAAGTAGGGCTGGCATTGTACTATATGAACACAAAGCAACTGAAGATCTCTGTCCTGCAAGCTTTTGTACACCTGCTAAAACATGCCAAGTACACGCACTTAGACCCATTATCCTACAGCCCTGAAACCACTAACCCCTTGATTTAGGCACTGACATAAGGGATTGCAGAATCGGCCCTGATACAAAACAGAAGTCTTTCAAAAATCGGAGTAAGAAAACACAGACCCATGTAAGTGAAATCAAGCCCGCTTTCAATCCTGGAGAACTATTCCTCACTCTAATAGGAGCCAACGCTCATTGCCGTGCACCAAGCTTTCAAAACACCCTTCTCCCACCGCGCGCGCACTTCACATTCCTTCGCTGCCTGTTTCCCTCCTCTCCAAGCTGTTTGTATTAAGCGCAAGCTCTGAATTCTTCAGGAAAAGGGCTGTGTTCTCAAAAGCCATGTGCAAGTCTGGCCCTGCTAAGTAGTTAAAGTTAGTTTAACCATATTGTGACTTGACTGCATTAATGGTCCACGTCGGAGCTGTTCCCCTGCTGCTGCTGCACAATTTAAGAGCTCTCACTCCAGAAGTACAGTTCTCTGCTCTTTAAGGAACCTATCTGCCATTAATCTAACAACATACCCAGAATCTGTTCACACCCTTCTTTTGCAATTCATTGCATAGACAGTCTTTTTTTAAAGAAGGGAAAAGGGGAAGCCACACACAAAACACCCAAATCATTCTAATCCAACCACTGCTTTGCACCTAACCAAGGGTCTTCCTTGCCAAAGGCCCACCCCATTAAGACTTCCTTAGTCACTCTACCCCAGGAACATTTCACCTTCCTACAACCAACTTTATATCTTCTTTCCCAACTAAGCTTTTATTTCTACAGCATGGGTGGGCTGAAGGCAGCCCACCAGGCCATTCTATCTGGCCTGTGGGGCCCCTAAAAAATTTAGAAAATGAATGTTTATGTGCCCCTGGCTGCCTGTCACATGGCCCTTGATGGATTGCCAAAACTCAGTAAGCGGCCCTCTGCCCAAAATAATTGCCCGCCCCTGTAGACTAGGGAATCAGGCATTTTTCCCAGCTGAACCTGATAATTCCCTCTACAGGGGCAAATACCTATTCTTAAAAAAAAAGCTCAGCCTCAAACAACTGATCCTTAAAAGGACAGACTACCCTTCTACAGAAACCTTCAAAGCAGGAGCAGTGTATAGATTATGATATGGGATGTATTTGGTAGCCGTGTTGATCTGAGACAAAAAGAAATACAAAAATCTAAAACTCTTGGTTCCAAAATGATACCTTTTATTAGATCAACTGAGAAATGACCAAAAAAAATCCTTTCAGTTGGTTTAATAAAAGGTATCATTTTGAAACCAAGAGATCTAGATTTTTGTGTAGCTTATGATATGACACATAGTTGAGCCATTTTGGTTGCATACAGTAGAGGGCAGTGTTACCCTTCCATACAAACTTGTTCATGTCAAGGTTATACAGTAATTTGTCCAAAAGAATGGATCTGTCGCATGCATTTTTACTCAGTTAAGAGATTAAAAAAAAAAAATCTTATTCAGGGGTTAAAGAAACATTTCAATTAATTTAGTTTACTGGGAAAATAAAAACAAGGGCCTGTAAACTTTATTTCAGGAAGTCTGATGTAGCATTCTGAAACTGGATTATATGAATTTTTTTTTTTTTACATCCAATTAAAAGAATTCATGGTTAAGTTTGAAGTTCAGGCACAACTTCAGCACTAAAAGAGAGGCCAGCCCTCTCTGTGGTTTGTGGTTTCTCTTGTCATTCTCTTGCTAGGAAGATTACCCAAGATCTCACTGTAGGAGGTCATTGTTTTATGTCTGCTGGTGATTGTTTGTTTACTGGTAAATGATGTTATCACTATAGTTACCCCCTGCTTTCACTATGGGAATAATTATTTTCGATTCATCATGAAATAATGCATTACAGCACCTGACAAAGATATGACATCAGATACATTTCACATACTTCATAGCATCTGACAAAGTAGGTTTTTGTCTATGAAAGCTCATTCTTCTCTCAACCAGTTAGTCTTTAAGGTGCCACCCTGCCCTGCCTTCTGTCTGACTTCTGACTCACCTGGCTAACCACCTCTATTCCAGTTTGAAAAACTTTTCTAATGACTTTTTTTCTTAGTGTCATCCCTACAACATAATTGATTTTTTTCATTCAAGAAGTGTGAAGAATAACGTAATGGTTTATGGCTATGCCCCATTAGCCCCAGCCTTCTGCCACCTATGTTGGCAGCTGAAATGAAATCAAAACTGGCAAATTTTGGACAGCGTCATTCCTTCTGCTAATCTAGAATAGCTTAGTTATAGTTAGAAAACCAATAAGACAGAAAATTATCTTGCATGCGTACATAACAGACAATTACCCCTTAATAAGCCTCAAGGAACTTAGGAAATAGCAGTGAAGCTGGGCTGCTTGTGTGTGTGCTAAATATTTTAAATCCCGCAAACCTTAATTAACAAAAGACGTGAAGGCTTCAGTTCTGCAGTGCCCCTGCGGAGCTTCGTTACTTGCATTAACGTGTCCAAACCCAAGCAATAAAATATATTGCTGAATAAAATAATAATCTTAATAAAATAACGACAGCAACATATACAATAATCAAAGGAATTGTGAGAAATGGATTTGCATTATTTATTTGCATTGCCCCTGGAGGCCCCAGAATAAGTCTGGAGCTCCATTCTGCTAGGTACAAATTGTGAGGGAGACAGGCAGCTCCTCCCTAGAAGGGCAGAACCAATCCTACAGTCATGCAGTCTTTTAATGAAGATCGAAGGGGAAACAAAAGCATCCAATAATTCAATATTACAGGTACTTCCTTGACATCTGCTATTTGCTCGCCCCCTTGCCAAGATAAATATTAACCAGGAAATATGCCAGCCTACAAGTATTTATAAGGACATTAAAAAATGCTGTTTACAGTCACTCCATGGGTCCACCTTGCTCACATATCCTGGGTCCCACAGCTAGCGGCTCCTCCACAGAGCTGTCACAATGCATCTGCTGAGTTCATGGACACCCCCGACACCCGCCCCTTCTGAGAGCAGAGGGAGACCCTGGCGTAGGCCCTCCTGGACTGCGCTAGGCCGCAGCCCCTTCACTGCCTGCCTCCTCCTCAACCTCCTGATGCCCTACTCCCATCCCACACCTTGCTGTTTGTGCACTCCTGGTACATGGCCCCACGTGGCCCTGGGGCCTCCCCTCCTCCTGGCTGGGAAGGAGCCTCTGGCCAGGAGTAACACCCCCACCCCCAGGGACTACAGGGCTGTTTTCCTGTCCTTGGCCTGTTCACCCTCCAGGCAGTTTCACCGGGCAACGCCCACTGGCTCCTCGGTCTTGTCTGGGGCCAGCAGGCCCTGCCTGGTGTGCTCTGCTCAGGGCCCCCCTCACTTGGAGCAATTCATCTAAACCTGTGCCCTGTTCCCTCGTCCCTGTTTTCTCTTCAGTTGCCCCCTGAGCTCAGCGGCCTCCCGGCTGAAGCAGGTTTTCATCACGCTCCTGCCCCACCAGCAGCATCTGCCACGCGCAGGCTGGGGAAGCCTGAGCCCCTACCCGCGCACATGCGCACGAGGGCTCGTGCTGGACGCGAAGGCACTGCAGGCACCCCCACTTCCCTGCTCCCTTTCCGCACATGCGCAGTCACCGGGACGCTTCAGGGAGGCCCCGCCCCTTCCGCTCCACTTCCGGGTGGAACGGGATGAGGCCGCGGCGGTTGGCTTGGCTGCCTGTTGCTGTGGTAACGGGGCCTAGTGGCGGCGCCATGGACAGTCGCGGTGCGCAGGTCAGCGGGCCGGGCCTCTCGGCGGTGGGGGATGGGGCGGGTTGCTTCTCTCGTCGGGACGGGGCAGGGAGGTGCAGGAGGCCGGGCGAGAAGGCTCCCGTTGTCCTGCGCCGCGTTGTGTTGCCAGCAGGGCAAGGGAAGCGCTTGGTCCCCTCCGTTCATCGGTGGCCCCGTGTCCGGTTCTGCAGCAAGGACGTGGGCAAATTGGAGAGTCCAGCGGGGGGCGACGAGAGGGTGACAGGGTGGGGACACGTGCGAGGAGAGGCTGCGGGAGCGGGGTTTATGTAGTCTGGAGAAGAGGAGACCGAGGGGGATTGAATAGCAGCCTTCAGCTCCCTGCAGGAAAGAGGATGGAGCCGGACGGTTGTCAGTGGGGGCAGGTGACAACAAGCAGCAATGGGCTCCAGTTGCAGCAAGGGGACTTTAGGTTACATATTAGGAAGAGTTTTCTCACCGGGAGGGTGGTAAAACACTGGAACGGGTCACCCAGACAGGTGGGGGAGTCTCCATCCTGGGAGGTTTTTAAGACCCATCTACACAAAGCCCTGGCTGCAGTGATGTACTTGGAGCTGGTCCTGCCTTGAGCAGGGGTTGGACTCGATGTGACCTCCAGAGGCCCCTTGCAACACTAATTTTTAGTGGTTCTGTGTAGTTGGGCTGAAGTTAGGCAAGCTTTCGAATACAAGACTTTCTTCCCGTCTCCGGGTGGAGGACGCCAGGCGCAGCAAGTCGAGCGCTGCATAGGGGAGCGGCTGAGAGAAAGTTTCAGGTGTGGCAGACAGGGAAAAAACCAAAAAAGCTGACCACAGACAGCGCTCGGGTGCCTGGCTTCCTGTATGCGCAGACCCGAGGAAGAACGTCTTACGTTCCAGAGCTCGTCTGACTGTCGACCGACTATGTAATTGGTCCAATAAAAGATATCGCCCTAAGGAATTCTTGCCTCTTGTATTGCTTTTGTCTCTTCTAATCCATTCATTGTTTTGGCTCCTAGACAATCCTTTGCTTGGGGTGGTCCCCCCTTCAAAGGATAGGTACTGCATTTAAAGCTGTAGTTGTTGAGAAGTTTCTGACTAACTGTATGAATCCAGTCCTGCCACTGAAGCCAGGGCTTTAATGAGAAAACATATGTGAGAATGGCGTGGGGATGCTGTGAAACTGATTCTAGTTCTCACTGACCGTTTTCATAACTGGAACCCATAGAAATATGTGAAATGTTCAACTGAGATCAGGCTCTCTGCAGGAGTTTTTTCCACTTGCTAATGCCACGTGAAACTATGTGCGTAGTTTTGAGATCCACGCTATTCTTTAATTTTTAACTTTTTTCTCTTTCTGTGAAGATCTAAAGATTCGGACTTGAAGATGGAAATGTATGACAACCTTGGAAAAGTGGGAGAAGGGAGTTATGGAATGGTGATAAAGTGCAAGCACAAGGAAACAGGACAGATCGTAGCAATTAAAATATTCTATGAGAAACCAGAAAAATCTGTCAACAAAATTGCTATGAGAGAAATAAAGTTTCTAAAGGTTTGCTTCTTTTGACTTATTTCATTTTCGATTTACAAAATAATTAGCTTTAAAATGAAACTTTCATCTTGAATGGTACATCATTGCTCGTGGGCTACTGAACACGTAACAAGGAAACAGCATATGCCAGACAATGCAAAGAAAATTTGAAAATATAGCAAATGCAAAAGGGCAAATCTAAAAAATGTAGCTGTACTTTTGAAAGTAAGTATGGACAGTTGTACATATCAGGTTAAAGGAAATAATAGATAGTATGGATGCGGTTTGTTTGTTTTTTTTTAAAGAGTTTTTTGTGGTTGAGCTATGCAAAATTTTAGGACTGTTGCTACTTTGTGTAGTTCCATAGATTTCCGCACAAGCACAAAGATATGCTAGAATTGCCTTTTTATACAATTCTTATGAACAGAAGTGAAGCTTCTTTTCTCTCCTCACCCTCCAACACTTCACCCAAACCTGTGGAGGATATGGAGTCCTTGTGTAAATCACCCTGGTTTAGGTTTTGCATGTATGCTTCCATCCCAGTGTAGCTGTTTGTTAAATGCACAGCCTGGGCAAAACGATTACCTAGGCAAGATGCTGTAGCAGCACCTTCTACTCTGGGACAAGTTGTACCTTTGTTCTTTTCGGTCCTGGTGTAAATCACATCAGTATATAAATCCATTAGAATACACAAACGCCTGTATTCATATTTAGCCTAGTATAACTTATGGCGGCTCAGCTAAAGATAGGAGAAATGTAAAACATTCTATCCATTTCCTACAAGTCTAGATAAACATTTGACCTATGCAATTCAAAAATATTCGCCCTACAGGTTCTATACTTGCCTCTATCACAGACCTACCATTTGAACTTAAGAGCATGAACAGGCATTCATTTATAGTGTTACAAATGTATAGCACTGTAGTGGTTTACAGGTGTTCCTGCAGGAACAAACTGTTCCTGCAGGGGCTATGGTAATGGGAAGAATGGCTTTTCCTGGGGTGCTTGTAGGGCCAGTGGCAGCTATTCTTACTGCCACCCACACCACAGGAACGGGCTTTTTCTGGTGTTTCTATGGGTGAGGGGTGCAGCTCTTCCCACTTCCTCTCATGACAGCCATTAAGGTCCCATCAGGACTCTTTAACAGCTTGTGAGCTGTGGGTGAGTACTGTTTGTACAAACAGCTAGAGTAGGGTGAGTACTATGTGCTACAAACAGCTAGAATAGGTGCACACTTGGTTTTTGTAGTGCTATAAATGTAATGCCTGTCCATGGCCTAAATCATATGTATTCTGTTGGGACCAGGTCCCCAGTTGCAACAGGCAATGAGGGAGGAAGACAAAAGTAGAGACAGTGCTACCTTTGTGCATTTTTAACCTAAAGACTAGTATTGCTGTTTTAAGTTATGCCTTAATCTAATGCAGTGATTCTCAGGCAGGGTGTTGTGGGACCCTGGGCTGACTTGAGATCCTTTCCATGGTCCTATGGGGTTCCATGCAATGTTAGCGCTGTTAGGTATGCAAACACGATTCACAAGATAAACCCAGAGATTTCAAATGGGAATCCACAGCATCAAGAACATTCTGACCTGTTGTTTTGTTTTGTTGGGTTTTTTCAATGCTTTGCAATTTTTTTTCTGTAGTCAAAAAGGGGAAACCAGAAGGTGGCATTTTCTGAGAAGTGCCTTGAATCTAAAAAGGTTTGAGAACCACTGATGTTGTGGATCCCAGGAGGCTGATCTGTCAGCTACAGATCACCTTGTACTTCTAGCTGACTTTGTGCCACTTCAAACAGGAGAAAATTTTCTCCATTAATATTTTTCCCAGAGATTCCCCAGCATCAAACTAATGGAGTAGAACCATTTCTTCTTAAGTCCTGTGGGTTAATGGAAAACCACAACTATGTGGAGGCTCTGCAAGGAAGTACAGACTGAAGCTGTAACATATTTCCTTGTTAAATATCTTGGACTTGGTCTGCCATACTTGGGCACCTGCTGTTTGTGAATTTGAGGCCTGAGACAGAAACTAGACTGTTACATTCAAACACCAGTTACAAATCCTAACTTGGCATTACAGTATGTGTGCGGGTTCTCCAGGCCTTTACATAACTCCTTACCCTTCCAGGACATTTTCTTAAAATATGTGATCATCACTGATTTTTAGTTAGGTATAGCAGAGGGTTTTGCTATTAGGGTGTGATCCTCTGCTCCTCATGAAATCAATGGGAACAGAGCCTCTTGCTCTAAATCTAGGCTAATTCTATGGAGCTCAGTGACACTAACCTGAATTGACATCACTCTGAGTGACTACAGTGACAATTACAGCGTAAACTGTAATTGAAAAGTTGGGACAGACTGTTTAGACCCATTCATAAACAAGTTAATAAAACAGTGTTTCAAAAATATTAGGTCTGAAATATAAATATATGGAACCTGATGTGCATGTTTTTAGCGTGATTATTATTTTGACATATGACTTTGTGCCAATTTTGACATATGGCTTTGTGTTTCCATATCAGTAAAATAAATGGTTTGCAAAAAAGGGCAGGGGAGGAGCAGTTTAACCTGCTCCTTACAGTTTGTCCATATCAGAAATGTTATTCCTGGTTTAATCCCTGCAACTGAGAGCAGTTTTTGACTTAGTGTTAATGAGGTCAGACTAAGTTGAGGGAAAAACTTTCTGGCTTTTGGACCAGAGAACAAGCTCCTTTTCTTGGGCTCCTTAAAGTCTATGTAATGTAATTTTTCCCCTGATTTAGGTCCAGTGATAGCAACACGTTTGTAAATCAAAATTTAGATTCACTATTATTCTGGTCAAACTAGCTCACCCAGTTATGGTTTAAATATTGGAGGAAGGCAGGCGGAGAGGGAATACAAATTCTGCGTATTTGCATATTTATACAACCCCCCCCCCCCCCCTTCATTTTACAACCCCCCCCCCCCATCTGTTCTTGTATTTATGCCTTAGTTAAGGAAAAAAAAATACTAACTTGAATACAAAAATCAGAAGAAAGTGTTTTTCCTCTTTTGTCAACAGCAATTTCATCATGAAAACCTGGTCAACCTCATTGAAGTATTTAGACAGAAAAAAAAAATTCATTTGGTGTTTGAATTTATTGATCATACAGTTTTAGATGAGCTGCAGCATTACTGCCATGGATTGGATAATAAAAGACTTAAAAGATACCTCTTTCAGATCTTTCGAGCAGTCAAGTATCTCCACAGCAACAATGTAAGTACTGTATAAAAAGGTAAAAATAAGGTTGAATCCTTTGGTGTTATCTCCTTCCATCATATTTTTTCATGTTGCTTAGTGTTTATCTTCCAGAAATTGAAATTCTAGTTTCATAATAACTGCTTAAATATCCTCTTGCCCTTCCAGTACATTTTCTTAAAAATGTGATTGTTGCTAATTTGTATTTAGGCATAGCTGAAGGTTTTGCTGTTAGGGTGTGATCCTTTGTTCCTCATGAAGTCAATGGGAACAGAGCCTCTTGCTCCAAATCTAGGCTAATTCTATGGACCTCAGTGGCACTAACCTGAATTGACATCACTGAGAGTGACTACAGTGACAATTACAGTATAAATTGTAATTAAACAGTTGGGACACATTGTTTGTATACCCATTCATAAGCAAGTTAAAACAGTGTTTCAAAAATACTACATCTGGAATACAAATAAAAATAAGTACTTTATTAAAAGGTAAAAATAAGGTTAAAATCCAGTGGTGTTATCTCCTTGCATCGTATTTTTTGATGTTACTTCGTGTTTTCTCTTTCAAAAATTGAAACGTTAATTCTTTGAAGAAATTCTAGTTTCATAATAACTGCTTAAGTATCTCCAGTTGGATTTTGATCTGCAGAATTGGAACACTAGTGCAGTATAAGGCGGGACATTAAATGTGCCTAGACACATGCAGGGAGGCGGGCTTGATTAATTGAGTCTGAAGCATGGTAACTGCCACACTCCAGGAGACTCCAGCATTACGTATATCAGTGTCCCCATGCTGAAAAATGGCAGCGGGGGTGCTTTAACTAAAACTTGTTCCACAAGCTTTAATTAAAGCGCCCCCACCACCATTTTTCAGCTCAGGGACGCTGATACATGTGATACTCTGGGTGCTTTAATTAGAACGGCTCTTGGACTCACTCTAATTAAAGTGGTGACTTCTAGAATTTAGGATCTTTATCTTCTTGCATGGTTGATACCAGCATGGCAGAACTGGTTTGGCTGTTCCAGTTTGTGTTTTTGGAGACGTTGGAAAAAGGGAGCTGTCATGTTTCTTAATAGGACTCTCTTCCTTATCAAGTTGTTTTCTGCTTTTCCTCTTTTGTCCAGATCATACACCGCGATATCAAACCTGAGAATGTTTTAGTGTCACAGAATGGAATCATTAAACTTTGTGATTTTGGCTTTGCTCGGACATTGGCTGCTCCTGGTGACATTTATACTGATTATGTGGCTACAAGATGGTACAGGGCTCCAGAACTGGTATTAAAAGACACTGTGTATGGAAAGTATGTATTTTTCTTTATGTTCCTGATTATTATGCTAGCATGGAGCATTGTTTGTGGGATGTGCACTATGGAGTACAACATAACACACACACAAAAGTTAACAAATAAACAGAAATTAATTTTCTTCAGCCTCAAGCAATATTTTCAAAAAAGTAGCTAACATCAAAAATTGTGTTAAGCCATTTTAAGGATTTTAAGATCCTTGTCACAAACCAAATATCTAGTACTGGACATGATGGGAAGTTTTAGAGGAACATCAGATGATGCTCTGTCACAGAACTTAAACAACAGTTCTTGTTTTGATAGGGAAATTAAATATGCATAAAGAGCTTCTATTCCCAGTAGCCCACAAAGTGTTGTCCATGTATATGAGCTCATATATACAGCTAGGTTTGATCCTGGACTCACTGAAGTCAGTGGCAAAGATCCTACTGATTTTAGTGCTATGTTAGCAAGCCTACAGTCTACCTTTCAATATGATATCCTGATTTTTGTGGATTGTATAGATTCTTTTCAGTATTAGGCTCAATACTAGATGGATGGTAGCTTTTCAAGTATTACTATACTGAAAACATTGTTATCTTTAATCAGATTAGGATTCTTCTTAAAGAGAGTCTAAAAATCAGAAATAGTAAGATACAAAAATTGGCAATTCAATGTGAACTTCTTAATCAACAGCAAATTTACTTGCATTATATACAATAATGCAATTATTTTGGCTGGAGGGCCACTTAATGACTTTTGGTGAGTGGTCAAGAACTGCAAGAGTATCCCCGCCCCTTGACAGGTGCCCCAGCCTCTGATTGCAATTTTGGGACCAGAAGTCCCACCCCTGACCTTTGCCACCGGAAGTATCCCGTATCCTGTCCCCTGTCCCCCCCACCCTTGCCTGTCCTGATTTACATGGATTTGCATAGTGTATATAGAGGAAATTGCATAATAACTCAAAATTAAGTCTTACTCTTGTATATATGTGTGTGGGGGGGGTGTGGTGGGGTTCGGAGGTGTTTGTGAAGAGGCGTGTAGGGTTCGTGGGGGAGTGTGGGTGGGTGTGGGCCCTGCCACCACACACCGCCGTGCCCTCCATGGTGCACAGTACCCGCTGGTAGCGGCAGCAGCAGGCAGTGGGCCCTCGGGGTGCTCCTGGCCCGTGACTGGCTCTGTGCAGACCAGAGGCACAAAGCCAGCCTAGCCCAGGATGATGGCATGCAGCTCCCGCCTGCAGTGTTGGGAGCCACACGTGCTGGCACAGAGCCAGCCTGGTCTGATTCGAAGGTCCATGCCTGTGGGCTGGGCTGGCTCCGTGCCACCACGGGCAGATCCCAGGTTTCAACAAGAGCCACATGCCTCCAGGAAGCTCTGCCTGCAGTGTGCCAGGAGCACCCTGAGGGCTTGTCGCCTGCTGCTGCTGCTGGTGCCTGTGGAGGCTAAGTGCCATGGTGGAGGGGCCCACACCTAGCCACAAAACCCACTCTCACTGTAATGCTACATGAGTTAAAGGAAGGTTTTAGTAGATAATTATTTTGTAGCTAAATGTAGCAATAGTATTTCATAAATACTTGTGAAGACCTTTTTCAGAAAGCATTACATTATTTCTAATGAAATGAATTTTTTAATATTTTCAGATACTCTGGTATTTTTTTTAGATATTTTAAGACCGTCTAAGTTTTTCTCTATAAATAACAGCTCTTTGCTAAGTTTTATCCTTGCTTCAGTTTGGTCTTGCTGAGCACTTTGTTTGTTCCCTGATCTTAGACCTGTGGACATCTGGGCTTTAGGTTGTATGATCATTGAAATGGCCACTGGGAATCCCTATCTGCCTAGCAGTTCTGACTTAGACCTACTTCATAAAATTGTGACTAAAGTAGGTGAGTACTGTTGAACATAGTCTAGACAGTATTTAAGAACAACTTTGACATACCATGTTAATTTGATTGCCGTCTGTGTGTAAATGTAGGTAATGGCATAAACAATTTTAGGACTGGGTCTAAAGACACTTGCTATAAAATGTTAATTATTGAACAGTGGTACTGTTTCTTATGTGACAGGTATTTTTTTTTAAGCTCTTAACTTAGTCTGTGAGACAAATGGCAGTTTACGTATCTAACACATGTCTAAGATGTTGCCTGGGCAAAGACTACATCAGCAAACGGCAGTCTGGAATTAACAAAGTATTACCTATTCATATTAAATCTCATCTTGTCAGGTTTATCAGTAGTAGCATGTAGAATTTAACTGAAATATGAGAAAATGAAATTTAAATGTTTGGTCTGGGGCAGGTCAAAGCATTCTGGGGCTATGCTACTGCACCCAGATACTATAGCAATAGACATATAGAGTACACTGATATAGAAGATTGTCCTCATTCCTTTATTTTGGCAAAATATGGTCTATATTAGAGTGTGTGTGAAATGCATAGAAAACAGACAGGCAGTTATGAATTATTGACCTGTATGTCCATGGGTGGGATCTGGTATTGTAATTAAATCATGATAATGCAGGTTTGTGTAATTACCATCACCACCGCCTCAAGCTAATTGTCAGTTTGCAGTTTTGGACATAGCTAACTGGATATTGGATACAGAATCAGTCAATAGATGTGATTTAGTACAGCTTGATTGAAGAATATATGTAATGCTTATTTCCAAGATTAATTACTTTAAATGGTAAACACTATTCACTGTAAGGTAGCTCAAATAATATCCTAATCTTACTGTTAAACACATTAGTATTTTTTCCTTCTTTGGTGCTTATGAAAGGTGCTGTAAGTAGTGTATAATAATAAAGGAATGCCAGTTAAAGATGTAAAGAAACAAGTGTTCTACTTTGAGTGCTTGTCCATACACACATTCAGAGAGTGAGTGAGTGAGTGTGTGCCTCAAACAGTTAGGCTTGGAGACTTTTGCGTAAGCCGTACTTATGGAATCTACATGCACCGTGCCTTGCCCTGTGCTTGGGGTGAAAAGAGAAACAGAGAGGTGGAAAAGGGTTTTATAGAAGTTGCTACTTGGATCCAAAAAGGAAGGAGAGAGAGTGGCTTATCTTAGATTTGAGCATATGCTTGAAGGAGTTGGGTTTTCCCAAGTTTGAGATGGTGGTGTTAGCCACTATTATACCATCACTAAAATAAGGGTACTGGTTTGCAGCTGTCAACCTTCAAGATGCTTGCTCTCATCACACCCTCCTATTCTGCCCTTTGTTACATTTATCATGCTGTCCCACAGAAAACAATTCCACTTTGGGATGTTCCAGGCCCCTTGCTAATACAAGATTCTTCCATTTGGCCTCTTGACGGCTCACAGACTTTTGCAGATGGTCATGTCCCATCTCAGAAGGACCAGTGTCATAGACTGCCTTTCTCGTGCGATTTCCGTGTAATACAAGTTCCTCTGAACAAGTGCCAGAGCACCTCAATACCACTCTACATCTAGTTTCAACCCAAGGCCTAAATACCCATGAGATGCACCTGGTCCCATTTTAAAAAACTGGAGTTCAGAGGGTCCATCCTAGATTCTCTAATGGTCAGAACTTTTCTTCTTCAAGCCTGATTCTAGTCCTTACTGTTATCCAGTTCAGTCTATTATCTGATTCACCTCTCAGTATTAGGATATGGCTAAGCTGCAGCTCATTAGTCAATGCTTTTCTCATCCCATCATGAGGAAAACTTGCATGCCTCCAACCCTTGCCTCTGTCTCCAAAAATGATATGCAAGATGAGGCAGGACTATGCATGGCTAATTCTGCGGGCCCCAACCTAGCTGAAGCAATTCTGGTTCCAAGATTTCCTTTGGACATCATTGAAGGAAATCAGGATCTGCTTGTCCAGCATAGGATGGGTCTCAACAGTACAATGTGCTTGCTTATCTCCTGTCAGATATATTCTCATCCATAGCACAAGAGTCAAATCAGGGCAGTTCGTTGGAGAAACCACACTGGAAATACTCTTGTAGACAAATACTTGAAGGAGAAAGAAAAACTATTACAATAACTGGAGTTCTGAGATAGGTAGTGTCCATACATCCACATCCTGTCCTTCACCTCTTCTTCGAAGTCTTTAACAGACAAATTCCTCAGCTGAGAGGAGTCTGAAGTACACACCACCCTCTATGGACTCAGCACAGAGCATGAGTAAAGGCAAGGCACAGGGTTGCTGGATGGGTATTGCTAGGGCAAAAGGCTCTGAGTTGCACTCCCTTCCTTTTGAAGCCCGCCAAAGCCTGACCCTGGACATCTTTTGGAAGAGCTGCAGGACCTTTCAGTTTAGGCAGGCATTCAGCAACCAAAATCGGGCCAAAATTTTTTTTAGTGGATCTCTGCTTTATATTGTTTTATTTTGTCATTGTATTTATTCTAGTTGCCATTTTAAGTTTCCGTTTCTCTTGCTGTAAGCTGCCCTGAGCCTTTGTTGAGAAGGGTGGCATATAAATTACATAAATGCATAAGCAGATAAATAAATCTCAAAGAACTTGAGTTTACCGGTAAGTATCTTCTCTTGCTGATGTTTTGCATTAAGCTGAAGATTTGCAATAGCACAAGTTTTATACTCATAATATTATAAAACACTAAGGAGGAGAATTTTAATTATAAAAAGAATGATGATTTCATTCTGTGTGCGCTAATCCATGCTATGGATTCAAGTAGTTTGTTTTGGTGACATGAACTACGAACAGGAAGGTAAAACCTCATTTTAATATGCAGGGATATACATGTTTATCTTTGTGCATCAAACTGCAAAATTAATTTATGTTGCAGAACAAGTCTTTGCTGGAGGGTTCTGCTTTTTCTGTAGCCTTCCTCTTGGGAAGGGAATACAGAGGGAAATAGAGCAATCTAGGACTGTTGCTAAATATTTTTCAGCTTTGCAGCCTGAAGGCTTTCTTGCTGAGAGATTTTTTTTTTTAATTTATTTTAGCCATTCTCATAGGAATAGTGTAATTACTGTATACATACTTAATTATATTTGTTTTAAATACACTGATTTGTTGGCTGCTCACAGTGAATTTTATAAACTATGTTTTCTTTCAGGCAATTTGACACCTCATCTTCAGAGTGTTTTTATAAAGAACCCAGTTTTTTCAGGGGTGGTCCTCCCTGAAGTCCAGCACCCAAAAAATGCAAGGAAAAAGTACCCCAAACTTGGTGCATTACTGGCAGATATGGTTCATGTATGTTAGAAGAGGTCTGGGTATCAAGCTTGGTGATGATGATTATTATTTGTGTTTGTCTATGATCTCTCATCTCATTTACTAGACAAGTTTCCTTCAGCAAATCCCAGCTATCTCGGTCCATTTGGGACTGGTGAGGAAATCCATTCTGTTACTTGGAGAGCTCTTCACACAGGTGTTCTTCCTGCAATTTTCCTTCTTTGGAATGGTATCATAGGGATTGTACACATTCTCCAAATGATGCACACTTAAAAAAGCTTATTACAAATTTCACAAAGTCATAATGGTAACCGTACTGCCAGGCACTCCTGTAATACTAACAGCATGGAAATGTAAACAAAAGTCTAACGTACTGAGTTCAGTAGAGAGTAATGATGTTTTCAGGAGCACAGTTCTTTTACTAGTCATTCTTTTATTGGCATTAGAAAATTATGTTGTAAGGAAATTAAAAGTCCCTTTCATTCACTGAAAGGACCATAAGCCAAGATTTCTTTAATTGGTTGAATTACAGTGTTCACAAAATGAATGACTGCATAGGCTAAAGTGACAGACTGCTTCAGCCTTATTCTATTTTTCTCTGCCCAGTTCTGATATAACATCTTTAACAACTCCAAAAGGAAATCTTTTGCAAGAGTAAATCGCCAATATTGCTAATTGTGTGGTGATTTTACAAGAAAATACATTTTGCTTGTGATCAAAAGCAATTCGAACTTGAGGGGGAGGAAAAGAGAATTTATCTATTGCATCATCCTGGATAGACAAAGATTTTTCCTTAAACCTTATCTACAACAATTTGTAGGCAAATAACAAGGTTTATATTTAATTAATTTAGATTTATTTTAGATCATCCTAACTGCTATCCCTATAAAAACATAAGAGCATTGTACAGTGGGATGGCTGTAGAGCAGGCTAATCTTATTATATAGTTGGGGGTAATTAGTCTTGCAGTGGAGGCAAATGAAGAACATTCCCAGTTAGAATCCATTTTCCAGTACAGGTAGAGGAGGCTGATCATTCCTGTTGTATTAAGTTGCCCATAAAAGAACAGGGAGTTACAAATGTAAGACAAATGCTCTGGTAATAGGTGTCTTTATGAGAAACATTCATAACAGTATCTGATGATGACCAAGGGATCTTTTTGGTGATTTGACTATTGAACACAAAGGTGTTGAATCTCATGAGATGTCTATACAGACTTGGGTGCTCAAGATGACTGCTACAGTTTAAAAAAATAGCAGAGAGGAGGTATATTAGATTACTCGATTACTAGAAGGATGGTCTTAAGGGACCTTTCACTGGAAATGTTTCCTATTCCATGTTCAGAAGTAGCAATACAGAAGGAACCAGACTTGCAGCTCATGTATGATGTTATAGTGGGAAGAAAAGTTTTATATTTACCGGGCACAACAGGAATGTTCTATATATACTTTGCTCCGAATTATGAACGTCACCATAACAGAAGTGCTGACAAAGGAATTTACCAGTGTTTTGGTAAATTATTTAAACAAGGACCTGGAAGGGAGTCAGCAAGTGCTGAGGAACCCACTAGTGGAACAACGACATCTGGGAGTCATCTAAGCATGTCAGTAATGCCAAGACAACTTTTTGTCTGGGAAAGAACAGAACAGAAATTGCAGCTCGGGGTCTTGTTTTGACTGCATAGGTAAAATCCAGTAAAGTAAAGAGCTGTCAGAGTAAGAAGTTAAATGAAAACAGGCACATAATCTAACCTATGTCTGGGTCAGATTTTTGATCACTTGGGCAGTTTTGGCAGTGAAAAGTTGCAGCAAGATTTCTCCAAAGAGGCAGCAGAGGAGCCTCCTACTATAAGAAAATTCTGGTCTGTTCTACGATATCCTTTTCTTTTATCCTGTGTCTAGGACATATGGAAAGTAAATGAGGGAAAACCTCAGCCAGTAAAGTCCCAAGGAGACCATACCAGCCAGTATAACTTAAGCAAGCCCTTGGACCCTTGACTGTTCCTTGGATCATGCAGACAGAATCACTTAGACTCTTCTACTCAACTACACTGAGCAGAATTTGGCTGTAACTATAGATATGTAACTATAGATGCCTATAGTATAGATCCCATTGTCCCCAAACAAGAAGCATAAAAGTGAAAAACAAATAGAACTAGATTGTATGGCAGTGGAAGGGAACCAAGACACTAGAAATTATAAATGCTGTGAGTGGCACTATTCCTAGAAGACTCTTTTGAGTCTAATGAGATTCTTTTAACCTAAAAGGGGTATCTATTGATACAAATGACATGATGTACATATAAATATGTTAGTAATCTCTGAACATCAGTGAATTGCAAACTAGCATTGTATTATTATGAGAGACATTAATACACACCATTGTTTACATAGCAGCATGTTACACATTATTTTAACAATCTTCTAAAATATCTATTATTTTATAGGCTTGCTTACAAATAGATCCTGCTGATAGGATCTCATCAACAGATCTGCTGCAGCATGACTATTTTACTAGAGATGGATTTATTGAAAAGTAAGCATGTTTTTGGTCATTAAAATATGAAAAGTCTCAGATTCTTAGACATCTTTGAAGAAGCTAAAGTAAGTAGGGAAATATATGATATAACAAACTACAAGGGTATTATTTTAAGAAGATGTGATTTTGTGAAGCTTTAGGACCTTTCAGTCATTTTTTCTTTTCTTGATGGTCTAAAGAATCCAGCATACCTAGATGTAGAAATTCCTGTTTCATTAAGTATTTGTGCAAGTTGGCATTACTCTGCCCAGGTGGTATAAGATGCAATTATAACTGTTCTAGCTACCAGTGCCAAACCAGTAACAGGAATGTGAACCTTATGGCACTATCCCCAAAGAGGAACAGGAGGCTTATATGAAAACTAATCAATAATGTCAGCCGTGAAATCTTAGGCTATGCATAGCATTCATGTTATTTCTCCTGGACCAAAAATGGAGGTTTCGAGGGGGGAGAAAAATAACCCTGTTCCAACCTGTTAGAAGGATGAATGCTTGTACAATTTCCATGCCTTAAGTCCTCCTGGGGACCAGGAGGAGTGGAGCTTTAGGGAAAGGCTCCCTGTGCTTTCCAGAAACCAGGGTCACTCTGGTCTGGAGACAGGTACTCCCACTCATCCCATAGACCAGAGGAGGAGGGAAGGAACAGATGCTCCCTGCTGGTTCCTCATGCCCCAGGATCCACGGGGAGAAGCAGGCTTTGCCACACTGCTCAAGGCACTCAGCTCCCAAGCACCACAAGCCAAGCAGAAGGAGTGGTGCCACAAGTCCCTGCCTGCTTCTTATACCAGAGTCCCCAGTCTGAGAAGTGGGCAGGGGGCATGAACAATGTGTGCCCCTGGTGACTGGGGGAAGCGGGAGCTCCGCAGAAGCTGCCGGTGGTGTTGGTGGTGGGGTGGTGAGCAGCAGCCTCCTGCAGGCGCCATCAACAGTGTTTGCGGTGTCTTTTTGTAGGGGGTACACCGCCACTCTCGAGGGGTGCACATACACCTGTGTGCACCCCTATGTATCGCCCCTGGCAGTGGGCTTTGTCTTTCTGCTCCATTCTTCCCAGAAATGGGAGGACTGGCATAGCCCTCACCTTCCCCAGACTAGGATCACCACATTCTTGGGAAGGCACAAGGAGCAGGGGAGATGGTCTGGTTGCAAGCTGAACACTTGTACTGGTCTCTCATTTGGAATAGTTTCTAACAGTGGAAATTTTCCATTGCTAGGAAAGAACACTTGTACACAGCCTTAGGTATTATATCTTGCCAAATTGCTTTGAAAAAAGGATGGCTTCAGAGACTGAGCAGGTTCCAATTACATTGGGCTGGATCCTCAGCTGGTATAAATTGTGTAACTCTGCCTTTAACTTTTATATTAGGTGAGTATTGGGCCCTTTGTCTCAAAAACAAGGGACTTTCCATTTTGTAGAGTTCACAGAAAGTGGAATATCTAATTCTAATATTATTAAAGGCTTAGTCTGTCTGTCTGTCTGTAACACTTTATTTGAACTCTGATTGGTTGTTATGGCAGACAGTCGCAGTGCTTACTGAAACAACCAATCAGAGTGCTCTGCACAGACAGAAGCACCACCATGACAGCGGGGACTGTGTGGCCGGACCCCCGCCTTGGCCCCTCAGTCCCCGCTGTCATGGTGGTGCCATCCCTGCCACCTGCCTCTGCGTCCAAAGAGCAGGGTTGCAGTGGGGGGGCAAGGCCAGCACTGCCTCCAAGGAGGCAGAGGGGGACTGACTGGGACGGCGGAGTGCCACCATGATGAAGGGGATGGAGCAGGGTGCAGCTGTGCAGGGTGTGGCAGCGCAGGCTTCTGACGGCACACGGGGGGTTGGGGGGAGACGCATGGGGCCAGAGGCAGAGCGGCGGCAGCACGGAGCATTGGGTGGCAGTGCTCCCTTCCCACCCACGCACCCGCTCCATCATTCTCAATGGGCAATCGGGTAGTAACCTTTATATGAGTTGTAATTAATTATCTCTCAGCCTTCTTTAAAATGAAAATATATCAGGTAATCTGGTTCTTGGTTCTTTTTTATTGCTAGTAAAGCATGACTATAACTAAAACATTAAAAAAGCAAAATAAATGGAAGAATTTCTGTTATACAAAGCAACTGTTGTAGAAAAAGAACTGAATACTATCTCTGCCTCTATTACAGTTCTGTGGGATGCTAAACAAATCACTTAACACAAGTTTTTCAAGGTGACCAGTAATTATGTGTTCCTTATTTTCTGCCTGCTCGAGACTCGATGTATGGAAATGCTGAGCTTCAGTGCTGCATATCTATATCCAATAAGAGATGTCAACTGAACATATAGCCTGCTATGCATTGCTAAATATTCTGAGAAATAGTCCTAAGGGTGTCAAATTGAGTCCCTAGAATTAGTGCGTTCACTTTAATCCTACTGGGTGTGTCTACACATGCAATTAATATGAAGCAATAAACTCCAGGGCAGTTGGAGCCAAAGTAAACTACTCCTGGGTGCAGTTTCTACACGTACACCTGGTTCGGTATTAATTTGAGCTGGAACAGAGCAGTTTACACCAGAGCCGTTCAGCCCCAGGCTCTAGGTGGTGGCATAGAGCAGCGGAGGTGCTAGGCTGGGGTATGATGGTGCTGAAAGTGTAGAGCTGTGTGGTTAGGTGGCAGGCAGGAGTCTGGCCCCCAGCTGGCTGGGCTGACTGGGTGCAATTTGCATCCATGGTCAGCATCTACATGTGCATTTAATCACAGTAAATTACCCCAGCATAAGATAGTACTGTCTTACTGCAGCGTAAATTAGTTTACTGTGGCCTAATACCATTGCGTGTGTAGATGGTGATTCTTTACTCTGCAGCTAATTACTGTAGTCTACTCCACAGTAAAGCGTATGTGTAGATGCGGCCACTGTGTCTCACTTCCCCATCTGTACAGAAGACTGAAAAGTAATAATAATTCTCTCCTCAGAACAGGGCTCGCTTAGAGTGCATTATAGTGTTTGGGTTTGTATGGTGTGCACTGGACAATGAGGATCAAACAAAATATTGATTTAGGGATGAATGTAGCAAAAGTCCTTGTAGACCAGTGGTGCTCAAACGTTCAGCCCTGTGGGCTGAATGATTGTTGCAGGACCAGTCTCCAGACAAGATGAGTGCTGTGGGGCTGGTCTGTGGGTCAGATCACACAGATGAGGTCAGTTCATGGGTGCAACCTGGCATGCTGGATCTGGCTTCTCTGGCCCAATATCACACACAACCTGACCTCACGTACCAGCTTGACCCTGCCTGCCAGCCCAACCTTGTGTGCCAGATATGGCCATGGAATGACCCTGTGTGCCAGTCCCACCATGCACCAGCAAAATCTAGCACTCCAGGTCCTGGCATCTGGCCCACAGGGCTCCCTCTGACTCCAGAAATTTAGCAGCAGTGGAACAGCAATTAATGCTGGGACTGCTTTCCCACCGCCAAATTTCTAGGCTGTGGGGAGACCCATGGGCTGAATAACACAGCTCTGCAGGCTCAATCTGGTGGGCTGGAGTTTGAGCACCACCGCTATAGAGAATATAGTATGTTGGCTTTTAATGAAAGATGAGATATATACACATGCATACACGTACACACATGCTAGAAGGTGAGTTATGGTTGCATGGACAGTGATAACTCTGGTATGTCCTAACTTTCAAGTCCTTGATTTTGCAGCCTATATAATAGTTTTTTAATGTAGGCCTTGTATTACAGTAAATATGCAAAATGACTAAGTTACCATAACCTTTGAAATCTTAAATTTTGCATTTCTTGAAATTCTTATAATGATTTACTGATTAAGCCTTAATATTACATTAATAGGTTTTTGCATTTAATTCTGTTTTTTTTTTTTTTAAACTATATGAAGAGGAGTAGAAACAGAGTGTTAAGCACATCCAGTTAAACAGTCACAGTTAGTCGCTGAAGTTTGCACTTAAATGTCTTCAGGACTAGAAACAAAATTATGGCTCTTGGAAGGGGAAATTCCCATCTTTGTCATGAAACTCTTACTTCTGTCCTCAGTTAACTGCAAAGTATTATGCGGCCTATACATATGCTCCAGGGTGGGGGAAGGGGAACACTTTAATTACAGTGCCTGCACCATCACGCGTATTCAGTGTCCTGCACTTAAAAATGGCGGTGGGGGTGCTTTAACTAAAGCTCGTTCAACAAGCGTTAGTGAAAGTGTCCCCACTGCCATTTTGAAATGCAGGGACACTGAATATATGCAATGTGGAGGCTGCTGGTGCATGCTAATTTGCACGCTCCAGCAAACTCAATTGATCAAGTCTGCTCCAATGCATGCAAATTACACGTGACAGAGCTCTGCTTCAACACATGCTAAGTGCCCTCAGATCTTAAGACAGTGGTTCTCAATCTTTATAGACTCGAGGCACCCCTCCATAACTTCTGTGAATTGAACAGCAACACATTTCAAAACTAATTTATTTATTACAGTGCTTATCTCCTTGAAGAGGGTCCAGACAGTGGGGGCAGGGAGAGCCTGAGTTTGCCCTTATCTGCTTAACTCCTCACACTTCCTGAGATTACAGCACTCCAGGATGGCCAGGTACCCTGGTTGAGAATCACTGCCTTAAGATCATGAAACTTTCACAGATGAAAAGAACTATTTTAGGACATATTAAGATGTTTTGGCTCTCTTCAGCCCCTGTACAGGTGAATTTACAGTAACAGACACATTTACTTTTACAGGTGACTGAATATAAAAATTTGTTCCAGGAACATTTTAAAAAGTGTGTCCAACATTTTTGAAATGTAGTTTATTTTTTGTATATGTAGAGGACATGATGTAGGGCGATGCATGATTTTATTAGCAGTCTTCTGTGATCACTTTTTAATTCCTAATTTACTGTTTGTCAATATTGCTGCCATTCCAAAATCTTTTTACTATGCTACTCTCTCCTGAATTTAGTTAACTAGCTTTTGCATCTAAACTAAATCCTGTTTTGTCTATGAACTTCAGGAAGTGTTGAATCAGGCCTACGGAGAATATTAGAAACCACAAAGGGATTCATAGATTAAAAGGCAGCATTTTAATTGGGAGTATAATGGTATGTCCCTTTACAACCCCAGAAATTCAGCTGTGTGCTTAAAAGCTATAATTATACGTATAAATGTCCATGAGTGTGCTCTGTTCACTTTTTTGCATAGGGGATTTTGGCTGCAAAGGACTTTTGCAGATAAACTTCCATTCAGATGTCTGGCCTCTTAGGGCAAGTGTGTTCAGTAATTTAAACCACTTATTTTTTTGTCTGTGTTTGTAGTGCTGAAGAGGTCTAGCCTTAGCCACATTCTTCAAAGCTAATTTCTACTGGCCAAGAAACAAACTATGGAAGTTGAATTAGTGGTTAAGAGTAACACTATATTTTACAGCTGGAAGTCTAACCAAGTGCTAATTAGTTCAGTGGATGGAAATAGACCTGACGCAAAACAGTTGCATATGGACTAGATCTATACGAAATGTCCTTTTTTAAGCTTAATCATGTTGGTGTCTAGTTCTTTTCTGGTTAAATGCTTAAGACATAATAAACACTGCAAAGCTGACTTCCCTGTATCAGTCAGACCATATCAGACTTCAAAGGATTTTTATTAATGTGTTATGCTAAGAATCTTCCTTGATCTGTTGAACGCAATAAATGAAATAGTGCGCATTTGTCAATGCCAAAATGTAACCGTCCAAACTAAATACATTTTGTAATATGAAATACTGTATACTTTTCTGTTAGGAACATAATGTACACATAAGCAAATAATATTTTAAAATATTTGTCTTCAGAACAAAAATTAAAATTTGATTAAGATGTCTTTTTACTAATACTGATGTTTTTTCCAAATCTAGTTGCATCATATATAGATCTCCTTGTGAGATATTTAGCAGGTGAACTTGTTGAATAATAGGTTTAATTAGGTATTGGACATAAAATGTAAAGAGAAAACAATCTTTATAATGTAAATTAGAAGACTGTCTCATTTTTTGTTATCAGATTTTTACCAGAACTGAAAGCCAAATTATTACAAGAAGTCAAATTAAATTCTCCTTCAAAACTCAGAGAGAATAATAAAGAGACTGAACTGATAAAAGATGAAAAGAGAACAGTTCATGTTAATTTCATTGAGAATGGTCCAGTGGTTGTGAAGGTGAGAATTATTTTTCTTAAAATATTTGTTAATGTTGTCATCTTGAATTGTATAATTATGGAGGTAACAGACTAGGAGTATATCTTCAAGCAAATAGGTAAAGTTATAGTAAGAATTGTTTTGACTTGTTAAATGTTAAGAGACAAATATTTTCAGAAGAAAACAACTGTTAATCCATTATTATGCTTTTGATATATTTAAGACTGATTCAACCATCCATCCCTGTTCAGTAAACAGTTAAATACATGTTGAACTTTAAGCCTGCATTATATCTCATTAACTTGAATGAGTACAAAGTACTTTGCTGAATAAGATGGACTTAAGCCAGTGATTCTCAACCAGGATGAGGTATGAGGAGATAAGGAGGCTTGAAGGGATAAAATAAATGTAGGCTCAGGCTCCTCCCTGCCTAGTCACTGCCTGGCCCCTTGGACCATAATAAATAAATTGATTTTTGAAATGGAGTGTGTCAAATCAAACAAGGGGTGCCCAAGTCTAAAAAGGTTGAGAGCCACTCTCTTAAGCATATGCTTAAATACTCTATTGAATTGAAACCTAGATGTAGTTAGTGTAAATACCATGAAAAAAAGATGAAAGGATCAAGCTTCAAAGACTTTCTAAGGCCTGTGTGCCTGACTTCATTTGGATACTTTTCTTGTCTTCTTGCTAGCTATTCCATAACTATTTCCAGTTGCATTTTTTACGGTTGTTTCTGAAGAGCACCACCAGTGGTTTACAGCACTAGTAAAGTGTTCCTCAAATGAGAGAGCCTGCAGTCTTTCTTGATTTTCAAATGATTATCCATATTACGGTGGTACTAGAAATATGCCAGACACTTTCCAAAAAAACAGATGAAAACACAGATGCCGCCCTGAAGGGAAAGTTTAAGGACTTCTTTATTAGTTGAGTAATCCATGATATGTAGTAATATTTTAAAATATATATAAGTGGAAACAATGGCAATGTATGGACAAGCTAATGAATCTCTAGAACAGTATGAAAACCAAGCAGTGAGATGCTGGGAGGAGGGATGATGGTGCATGGGAAGCTATTTTTGTTCTAAAGTAGTCCCCATACTGGAAAAGTAGGAAAACACAATATTCCAGGAACTGCACTGCCCTGAAGGACTACCATCAACTTGAAATCCAGTTGAATGAAAAGTTCTTTTAGGTGCTGAACCTACTTGTAGATCCACTGGTAAATGTCATTTTTAAACAAAAGTACCTATTTGCAAAAATGTTTGTCTCTTTTCTGTTGCTAGGCAAAAAGACATATTCAAACTAAACAAGAGATTGACTGACAGTCAAAAGTAAACAGTGTGCCAGGGGTTGTCAAATACTTAAAATAAGCCAAATGAAAAGCCAGCGAATGTTATTCTCTAATTGCTTGTGCATACAGTAATCTTAGTTGTGCCTTCGAAGTGTAGTTTTAAGATTTTCTTTCCTTACGCATGATTTGGATAAAGAAAAGTTTTTTTAATTCCTGACTCCAGCAGGAGTTTGAGGAATGTGTTCCAGTCAGCCAGAGGTATAATTGGGCAGTTTTGAGCCCTGGATGGCAAAGCACAAGGCAACAGTCACAGCCAGCAGAGGAGCTGTAGTGGCTGCTATTTTTACGCTCCCCCCCCACTAGGTAAGAACCTGGGTCTGGTGCTCCAGTCACCCCAGATACACTACTGAAAGCAGCAGTCTGATGTAGCTGGTTTCTGTTTTTCCCAGGATGTCACTTACTTCTTGAATGAAAGCTTGTACTGAGGTTGTTCTGCTGATGGCATTTTGGCTGGAAGCTGATGGGCTACTAAGTTTGGATTCTGTAGCAGGTAAGTGATATTTTCCCCTCTCCTTCCCCTCTCTAGGGTCTAGCGAAGGTAGATAGAAAGGGCAACAGTGCTAGGGCTGTGTGCGGGGGTGGGAAGCCAAGGACACACGTGTGACCACAGCAGGAAGGAAGCCTGTAACCACCCAGATACTTGCAACTGTTCTGACACTTGCATGCAGTGGGTGGGGGTCAGTCTTTTTCTGCTCAGCATCTCCTGCTCTTTTCTTGTCTCTGGTGACAGTGGCAGTATGCTTCCCACTCCAGAGCCATGCTGCCACTTGAGACACACCGTGGGGAACAGGAAATCGGCTAGTGAGCAGAACAAGCATAAAGCCATGGAGTTTCAAGGGGGAAAGGCCCTTTCTGTTATATGTGGAAGTGGCTGTTTGGCCTGTGTGCATGCTTGTTTCATTTGGCTTCCATCCTCTAGTCAACCCTAGGACTCTAGTTCTTTAACAGTCAGGTAGCAGGAGTGAAACTAAGGGAAGCACAGGAGAAAAATGCCACTCTAGAAGCTTGCTAGACCTTAATTTGAGAGATGGGGGAAATGTCACTTGCCTTTTTGTACCATGCTGAGACCCTGAATCCTATCTGCTCTGGCCAATCACCATCAGCAGGGAAACCTTAGCCCTGGGGAGAGAGGGCTGGGAGAGAGAGAATATTTTTTTTTTCATTAAGCTATTAATTTTAAGGTTATTTGGTTTATTTTTCTTAATTTTCAGCTGCAGGTAGACTTTTACTCAGATATGATTGGCATATTACCTGGTCCTTTTATTGATACTTTTACAAAAAGTTTTCAACTTATTAAATGACAAAAGGTACCTTCTTGAAGTGGAACTGGTAGAGTGATATGCTCATTTATTACTGTTAAAAGTAATTTTGCCACCTCCGTACATTTGATGTCATCTTTGATGTTAGGATTGAGAGAGAACTGAAGCTGCAATTCTAAAAATGCTTCTTTGATGGCATGAAAGGAATTAGAGCTTCCAAAGTAAAAACAGTGATAGCATCCAGTTTTGTAACGCACAAAGAACCCAGCTCTTACTGACT